CCCATATTAGTTCATTTAAACTACAATATATTCATAGTTGAAATGAAAGCGATATTTTCACGTTTGGGGGCGCTGATAGGCACCCCCAAACGTAACCACACTGTACATGATTTCATAAAAGGATGGTTTGTCTAATTGCAGTATCCTAGGTCAATGATGACGTTGTGTTCAATCTTTGTATAAAATTCGGCTGAGGTTGTGGTGGTAATTTAAAATCGTGATTCCTGATTATTCTTGATCTTCTTTTTATGACATCAATATTTCCGGGCCTAATCCAAACAAAGTTAAAGAAGACAAACATTAATTGTAAACAAAAAGCTACCATGAAGAATTAAAACATGTAAACATTGTTATTTTTCTATTTTTTCCTCGAAATATGGAATAGTAAAATAATTTGCATTTATCCTTTTTTATTAAGACTCGTGTACAGAGCCTCGATTTGTACTGTGGTTTAATTAATTTCGGTCTAAACTATTTTAAACTGTGGTATAATTATCTCTACTAATCTTACTTATTTCCTATAATCAATGACAAAATAAGAGTAAATAAAATAACCTCATAGTTCTAAAGTTTATATTTAACCAGCTGTTAGTTAAAACTAATTATATTGCTCTAAAACAAATCAAAGATTACAAAGATTGCTTTAAAAAAATAATTTGAACATCCTAGTATTTTACTATGTATAATTTAATTAATCTGTCATCCTCTTACAGAAGAATTGAACGTATCAATGATTTGCATTACACATAGTATAAATAAGTCAACCCTAAGTATGTCTTTACATTTTTATCCAAATGCTGAATTTGTGACACAAAAGCTGAATGTTTACAGCTGTTATGTTAAGCAAATTATTTTATGCCAAAAGCTAGTTTAGAATCTTAGCGTCGGCTGCTAGACTTTTTAAAAATTAAAACTTAATTTCTAAAAAACTGGGACCCTAAACTAAAATTATGGCTTCGACATTCCCTAGTTTTCAAAATTATCTTTCTTTCAACACAAAAATCGTGAAAATCCGTCGAGTGGTTGATTCAGAATCGTGAACGAAAAAAACACACTTTCGTTTTAATATTATAGATCACTACTATTATAAATTATAAATATAAAAAAAACTTTTTCAAAATGCAACGTTTTTAAACGCATTATAAAGTACAACATATGTATTGAATAAATACTTGAAGATTTAAAGAAAAACGTGGGGCGCATACTAATTTTACAATTTATCTTCACCTTATTGAACTACTGTATTATTATCCATTGCATGCGCCCCACGTTTTATCGTTTTAAATCTTACAAGTATTTATTCTCTCCACATATTTATAAATTATTTTTACTTTTTAGTGCGTTTAAAAACGTGGTATTTTTTAAAATTATTTTTTATTTATAATTATTTTATACTTTTTAGTCTTTAATGTGTAAATATGTTAAATCTATTTTACATGGCCTGTCAATACATAACCAAACACTTATTATCTGTAATCATATGTTTTATCTTCCTTTGAGCTGCTTATTTTATATTTAGAATCTCTCGGGAGCAGAACCTGTACCTCTTAACCTCTGCCCTTCGAACTGTCAAATTTTAGTATTTACAGCTGACTTCAATTGAAATATTTAGGCCTACATTCTTCCAAAATTTAAACATGAAAAATTTGGAAGCCCATGGGGCTTAGCCCGAGGCGAATATGAAAATTAAATGGTATATTGCATTGTCATCCATTTGTGAGCTATTTTTAAAGTTTCAATTCTCTAGCTCGTCGGGAAGTTAGTTATTGATTGCAAAGTTTGTACCGGACTAAGAAAGTGAGCTAATAAAAACGTTTTAAAATTAGCTGGTGTCATGGCACTACAGTAGCACCAATTCACTCGAAAGTCAACAAACTAATGAACAGAATCGCTCTAGAACAATCGCTTCTGGGACAATGACATGGTTAGCTACTATCGCTGAGCTACTATCGCTGAGCTACTGTCGCTCAGCTACTATCGCAAGAGTCGCTTCAGGGACAATGCACCTTAAGTCCTAAAATAGCCTCAGTCCAGTAAGGTTTCAGCTCTGGATTGGAACATCACGAAGAATCAGACATCCCAGAAGACTGCAGTTTTTATAAACCGTGTACGACATGGCAGGAATCTTCTGTGGTATGTTTTCTGTGCTTCTGTGCAGAAATAAATCTGTAATGCGAACCCCAACCTCAACTACGGCTGCTAAAATAACGACCTCATGAACACTCTGGACTAAATGTAAACATAAAGATATAAATATCACACTTAATCGTTAATTAAAACAAAATGTCCGCGTATTTTGCCAACGCTTCAAACGAAAGTCGTCGTTAATTTCGCCCCTTTGGCCGGCTCCGTGAGTCTAATGTTTATCCAATTAAATCCGTCTGCTATATTTACTGTCGGAAAACTTTGGTGGGAATGGTACAAACGGCGCCAAGGTTTCGAGTAAGATGTCACAAGACTTAGAATTAGTTCCATTAATTCTTCGGTATCATTGTATTTTGATGTCCTCATCCTAGGACGCTAGGCTCCCGAAACCGTTTAAACCATTCCAAAGGCTAGGCTTAGAAGATCACATCATTACCACAAAGCTACAACCCTTTGTTGATTGCAGGGATTTGGACCCACGACCTCGGAGACCGAAGCCTCGCGCTCTACCACTAGATCATTTCGCTCTCTACCTTTTGATAATATAGCATACATCCTATATGGATCAGCTGGAGAAGATAATTGAATGAGCATCTTAATAGTGTGCTACAAGTTCAAAATGTACATTTTTCCAATTTCGCTGATCATGATAGTTGGAGTATTACAGTTTGACATTCAAATAAAGAACATTGAATTTTACTACTGACATTGTATTTTTAGAGTATCAGTGGAAAAAACTTATTTTTCATGTTTTCATCTTACAACTGAATATTTGTTGACAGTAATGTATCTAAACTAAGAAATTATACTAGTACAAAGTAGTAGAGGGGGGGTAGAAAAGAATCCAAACAGAAATAAAAGTCGATAAACTGTTAATACTGTCCCTGTTCAACAGGGCACACTTTATAGTTCATTGTCAATTCAAATTGTTTACATTCCAATACACGCTGTGTGTTAGCACTTGTATTATAAATAAACACTTATTCATCTTTTTGTTGGCCTTTTTTAAGAATCAAAACAGACGAACTAAATACGGTTTTAAATAACTGCCTAATATGTAACAACAAACTTGGCAAATGCATTTATTTTATTCTAAGCTATCGATACAGTATTTTACTAAAACACACTTTATTACCCTCCCTGTATCAGCAGACCTAGGTACTCATTAAACCTAATGTTATTTAAATAGATTTAGGTAAAAATCTAATCAGGCAAATGGAAATTCGGTCTGCATGTTTGCTGAGGTGGGGGTATTTATTCTTAAATCAGCAATAGCTTTAATTTGGCAATGGGGTACAGTATCTATGTACTCCTTTAATCCAAAAGTATTAGTTTTTAGCGACTCAGCACATTGCTAAACGCAATTAAAAAATTCAACCTCCGCCAAATACAATCCACTTGTAAAAATATTCTCGTCGTTAAAATATTTGGCTGACCTCCGGACTGATATAATTGGGTCTGAATCAGACAATAACAAACAATACGATGGCAACCCAACTGTGTAATGTGGAACAGCTGTTCGTAGTAAATTTGAATACAACATTCCCAACCTAATGGTCTTACGGTACAAAGACTTCAAAATAAATCCACAGAAACAAATAGGTTAATTGAATCAAATTAGAGTCAGGATGATTTATTTTGTAATTAAGTAAACATAGCCGATTTTGGTATTATTTTCCTCATTATTGTTGTCGATATTGAGAAGCAAGATGGTTTGGTGGTAGAGGACGGTGGTTTAGTCCCAGAGGTCCCGTGTTCGAATCCCGCTAAACAGCAATGCCTGTTATCTATGTGATAATGCTGCGACCCTCTGCACCTAGCCTGTAGGATTTTTTTTCACGAGCCCGGAATTTTTTTTCACATTACTTCAGGCTGGACCTAGGGGTTACGGCATTATCGCTTATATAAAATCCATTGGTGATTTGGCAGGGTTTGAACCCGGGACCCCGGGAACCGGAGTCCCGCGCTCTAACCACCAGTATGTTCAAGAAGCGTGCCCCGTCGTCAAGCTGCTGTGCAACGTGCAATAATGGTGGTTAGGTAACGATGGAGTCAGCCCAAGTAAAATACAATGAAGCGGGGACACTCGCCAAACCACAACAGAGCACAGCCAGGTGTGAACATTGCTGTTGAACCCTCTCAACACACATAGTAATACAAGAACACGTACGACTACTATCCTATAATACACTCATGGTAGCTCAGTCGTGTGGACGGTGAAATGCGATGTAAAAAGAGGCAGCCGATCGCCAGGTTTATCAAACATGTAGTATGGCTTTGCATCTCGAAAGACGACGTTGGTTGAAGACAACTAGACCAGATTTAACGGTATTTCCAGAATATTCTCAACAAGCCTTAAAGAACTGGATGGACAATGGTTTGCAGTGGTTATGTCGAACATACAGTAAATTGATTCCTGAAACTATGTGAACCATGGAAGGATATGTTTCAATCTGAGTTCAACATTTGCTGTCGAATCGATCTTTGGCCCTTCGGGCGATGTCCGCGTGCTTAAATTGACGAAGATAGTGGATCAAGGTGAATTTTACCGAGGAGGATTACTACAAAGAATTCACGTCTTTGCAGAAACGTCGGTCATTATCTTTTCCAAGTGAACGACGTGGTCATCTCCCGCAGATGAAGTTTTGATAGCCTACTTTGAGGCTAAGGTTGCCGAGGTCCCAGGTTGCAGTTGAAGCTACGTGAAAAATGCTTGACTCTTCTTGTTTGGCCTTCCAACAGTTTTGTAGAGCCTTCCGTTCTAGCATGTGGAGGTAGAAAGCATAAGAATATAGACTATACCTCTACCGAATCAACTCTACAACTATTTCTCCTTGCAGCCTAGCTATTCTCACCTTGTGACGCCGCTCTGCCATGCAGCCTCGCTGTCACCGACCTCAGCTGTTCGATGTTCTCCCCAGGTTTGACCGCACAAACCCGCAGCTTCTCCAGCAGCCCTTCGTTAATGCTTTCATCACTCATGATCCGTCCGCCGCCATTCTGAAACACACTCGTAGCTGTTAGTTTAGCGGTGCTCCAAAAGATGTACCTCCGAAAGGTATAACTCCGATGTGCATAACTCTGAAAGGACCACTGCGTGTTACACTTTCAAAGCAGTGCCTTAGAGGCGTATTCTTTTCGGAGCAGTGCCTTAGAGGCGTATTCTTTTCGGAGCAGTGCCTTAGAGGTTTATTCTTTTCGGAGAAAATGCAGCTCAAGTTTTGTCTGTGTTTTGGCTCTGTATTTAGATTGACAATATAGGACATATCTTGAAGCAATCGTTACGAAACAAAAATCTAACGAAAACCCTCGGATATGGATTGGTAAATTCGACGTGGTGGAAGATAGAAAAGTCCATAGAACTTATTGAGGCCAAAAATCAACTTGGACTTGAGTGGCCACAGGTTAAGAGAGGGTAAGTATATTATTAACCTCACGAGTTTCACCACGCAAGTGTTTACCAAAAATATTGACCTTCATCCATCGAATCAATAGACAACAATGTGTCTTGATGTATAACACCTACTGTGTAACAACCAGCCTAGTCCATTCAATCAACTGTCTAATCCAAACGAAGACAGATCCATCATTATGTATTAATAAACCACTAGCAATTTCAAGCTCTATTGTGTTGTTAATAGAAGGATTAATTCTACGGGGGAAATTCTGATTCGTTCAACATACAGCTTGTATTAACCCCGCCAATCACCAAAGGTCTTTGATAATTAATTGTGTTGACCTACGGTTCAGAACCTACCTTAAAAATTGGCTATAGATCAAATATTAAATATAACTAGTGTACCTGTTGCTCGAAATCGAGCAATTGTCAAGAACCGGTATTATACAGAAGTTATTTTAAAACTACAGTAATAAGAGTCATAATTTTCTATGAGTTTAAAATACCCGGTAAATGCTTATGTAACTAGGTGGCGTTCGCAGAGGCATCCACAAAATTGAGCGGAGTCATCAAGGGTTCATATTATATTGTTTTTGTTATACTGCAGTAAAAACAGTCGTTCTTAATGCATGCGTTGCGGGTCTTAAGTAGCATTTTTACTCTTTAGGGAGTAAAAATTGTTTTTAGCCTCTATGGAGTAAAAATCAGCTGTTGTCAACTCAGTTGTAAATTTCTGTTGTAAACGATTCCATGTATCGAAAATATGTATCGATTCGTGCTTCGTAATCATTTTAAACTACAGTCTACAGTCTCTTCCCATAGCATTTTAACGTTGCAGATACATTAATCCATTCCCACACTCAACACTGCTCACCTTTACTACTTCCTTCACCACTCCCTACGTCGTGGACCTGTTTCCCTCTCTTCCCATTGCATTTTAGGATTGCAGATACATTAATGTAACTGCCAAAGACAGTTTCCACACTCAGCACTGCAAGCCTTACTACTTCCTTCGCCACTTCCTACGTCGTGGGGCCTGTTTCCTTCCCTTCTCATAGCATTTTAGGATTGAAGATACATTAATCTAACTGCCACAGACGGTTCTCTTACAATGCTCATACTTTACTACTTCCTAAGCCACTTCCAACATCGTGGACCTGTTTTCATCACTTTCCATAGCATTTTAGTATTTTAGATACGTTAATCTAATTGCCACAAACATTGCCCACACTCCGCACTGCTAGCATTTACTACTTCTTTCACCATTTTCCATGTCGTGGGTATGCTTCCATCCCTTCTCATAGGATTTCAGCATTGCAGATACATTATTCTAACTGCTACAAACGGTTTCCAGTTCCCACACTCCACACTGCTCACCTAACTACTTACTTCGCCTCTTCTTGCGTCGCGGACCTGTTTCCCTCTCTTCCCATAGAATATTAAGATTTTAGATAAATTAATCTAATCGTTATAAATAGTTCCCACACCCCGGACAGCTCGCCTTGACTACTTCCTTCACCACTTTTTACGACTTGGACCTGATTCCCTCCCTTCCCTTAGCATTATTGGATTGCAAATACCTTAATCTATTGGTCATAAACAGATCCCACACTCCAATCAACTCGCCTTTACTACTTCCTTCACCACTTCCTACGTCACGGACCTGTTTTCCTCCCTTCCCATGGCATTTTTGGTTTGTAGATACCTTAATCTAATCGTCATAAACAGTTTCCACACTCCGGACAGCTTGCCTTGACTACTTCCTTCACCTCTTCCTACGTCGTGGACCTGTTTTCTTCCCTTCCCATAGCATTTTAGGATTGCAAATACCTTAATCCAATGGTCATAAACAGATCCAATACCCCGAACAGCTCGCCTTTACTACTTCCTTTACCACTTCCTACGTCACGGACCTGTTTCCCTCCCTTCCCTTAGCATTATTGGATTGAAAATACCTTAATCTATTGGTTATAAACAGATCCCACACTCCGGACAACTCGCCTTTACTACTTCCTTCACCACTTCCTACGTCACGGACCTGTTTTCCTCCCTTCCCATAGCATTTTAGGATTGCAAATACCTTAATCTAATGGTCAAAAACAGATCCCATACCCCAAACAGCTCGCCTTTACTACTACTTCTTTCACCACTTTCTACGTCACCGACCTGATTCCCTCCCTTTCTATAGCATTTAAGGATTGCATATACCTTAATCTAATCGTCATAAACAGCTCCCAAACTCCAGACAGCACGCATTTACTACTTCCTTCACCCCTTCCTACGTCACGGACCTGTTTCCCTACCTTCCCTTAGCATTATTGGATTGAAAATACCATAATCTATTGGTCATAAAAAGATCCCATACCCCGAACAGCTCGCCTTTACTACTTCCTTCACCACTTCCTACGTCACGGACCTGTTTTCCTCCCTTCCCATAGCATTTTAGGTTTGTAGATACTTTAATAATCTAGTCGTCATAAACAGTTTCCACACTCCGGACAGCTTGCCTTGACTACTTCCTTCACCACTTCCTACGTCGCGGACCTGATTTCCTTTCTTCCCATAATATTTTAGGGTTGCAAATACCCTTAATCTAATGGTCATAAACAGATCCCATACCACGAACAGCTCGCCTTTACTACTTCCTTTACCCCTGCCTACGTCACGGACCTGTTTCCCTCCCTTCCCTTAGCATTATTGGATTGAAAATTCCTAAATCTTATTGGTCATAAACAGATTCCACACTTCGGACAGCTTGCCTTGACTACTTCCTTCACCACTTCCTACGTCGCGGACCCGTTTTCCTCCCTTCCCATAGATTTTTAGGAATGCAGATACAGTACCTAAATTTAATCGTCCCTTAACTACTTCCTTTACCACTTCCTACGTCACGGTCCTCAAGCTAGTGTCGTCATTTGATTATATTTATGATCCATACCGTTTCTGTTCTAATATCTGTGGATTGCTATCAGCTATTTCTTTATCTACTGCATTCAAAAGTCAACAGCTGATCATATGTTATTGTTTATGTATCAAATACTGCTTCCATAAGGATTACATTGAAACATTTAGACCCAGTGGGGCGGATTCCAGAGAGACCTTTGTAATGCCATATAGATGTTGGCACTCACCGATATGGTCTTTATTACCATGCAAAATTTGAAAACGATTGATTCAGCCGTCTAGGAGTAGTTTGCGTATTACGAAATGCATAAGAGTCGACGTATAAGAGCTTCGCTCGCTTCGCTCGCTCCGCTCAACTAATTTAAATAGATTTTAACACGCTATTTAATAGCGCTTTGAAATAATAAACGCTTCTTGTAAAAATATTTTAGCATTTTTTGGACCCGGCCTTATTTTTTAGTGTTTTTTACAAATGTTTCCTGACTTTAAGCTGTTACTAGTAAACATTTCTTGCATGTATTTATTTGACCTGACTTTAGGTAGGTTTACTTTACCACTGTGACAACATGATGTGTATATTCTAGGTTCTTTTTTTACTTCCAAAATAAGTTGCTTAGCATAACTGGCAAAAATTATTCATCTCCCAAAGTGATTGTGTACCTGGATTCCTTACTGTGAGACCAGGCCTCTCCTCTACTCTTCTCGTACGTATAAGATTTCATATTAATTGTCTGTTCTTCCAACAAAACTGATTGACTGTTTGGATTTGTCTATAACCTCCTAAATATTACAAACATCAATATTTACTCCCAAAAAGCTGATGAGTTTCTTCTTATATACAGCTGTTTTTGTTTTTAAATTTGTTTTCAATGCAATTCTTATGGGGAAAATGCGACCTTTGAGAGCGTCTCGTGTCCTTAAGGGTAAGAGTTTTTAAATTCTAAAACCTTTATGCAAAACTACGAATTGAGACGAATTATTTGACACCCCAAACGTTAAAATCGGTCCTGAAATAACGGAGGAGTTTTGTTTACAAAAAACAGCCCTCACGTAAGAGAAGATGTTAATGTCACTAGGTGTTAATGTCATAGTACCTGGGGACCGAGCTTTGCTCGGGTAAAATCATTAGTTTACTATGAAAGCAGTCTTAGTATTGCAGATACATTAATCCATTCCTAAACTCCACACTGCTCGCCTGTACTACTTCCTTCACCACTTCCTACGTCGTGGGATGTTTCCTTCCCTTCTCATAGCATTTTAAGTTTGCAGATACCTCAATTTAATCGTCAAACTTTGTGTTCCACTCCAAGAAAAGACATAACAATTCAACAAAATTACACTGTCAAAAAAAGTATTCAATAAATACAGTGAGGAAAATACTTTTAAATGTTCAGTAATATAAAGTCCGACTATAATGGAGACAAAGGTGGATTTAACGTAAATCAGGAGGGGAGTCTGCTTCGTGCGTTCAGGCCATGAACGCCCCTGACTGTCTCACTGTATTTCGGCCAAACAATGGGTCTGAACATGCAAAACTCGCAAATATAATTTCCAAATGGCAGTTCATAACGATCCACTTTAATTCTATATCGACCTCTGTTTAGTTAAATTAGGTAAGGGTAGTGGGGAACTGGCAAGGGATGCACTTATAGTTGATTTGAAGATTTGTAAACTGAATTCCCATAAGTGGAGCCATAAG